GATGTAGTGTGATATATCCACATGTGTGGAAAGTTGATGATATGTGTATATTTATGTGGTTGTGTAAGTTATGACGACTATGATATGTATTAGTAAGGTATGCAGTTGTGGAGTATGAAACTGTGACTATGGCTATGAAAAGCCAATGCATATGGCAGTGAGTGTATATGTTTGTCTATGAATGCATGGATTTAGATGAATTATTTTGCAGGATCAGATGGAAGAACTGTTAGCCCATTACACGAGTAATTCATGTCGAAATTTTATTTGGATAAATTTTGATAATTAATGTAACACCCGAGATTATTTCCGCTGTAATTGTATGAACAATATGATTAGGTAATACGTATAGGGTAGGGTGTTACAAACTCAAATCACTATACCTTGACAAGGTGAAACAAATTTCTCCATGTCAGCAACTAGCATATTGGGCTGCAAAAGAAAAGCATTGTTTATCAGGAACATGACATAATTCCGGATTTCATAGTAAGAGCACATGATATGTTGCAGCCAATTAGATATTAGTTCAATGGACATGATCAGTTCATTATTCTACCTGAACCAGGGTCTGCTCAAATGCCATCGACAGAAGCTTGTCCTTCGTAAAAGAACATATTGACCACATTAGTTTAATATGAAAATCTTCCAAAGAAAGAGGTGGGAAAGGAAAAACCAAATTTGTTCTTTCAAAATGAATATAGATGGACTCACTAGCCACCCTGCAATCCCAGGAAGCACTGTAACATCAACCCCATGGGTAAAGATGGGCTTCACCGTCATTTGGAAATAGGGTGGCTCAGCAAAGCATACTCGTAAACGTCCAATGAAAGGCCAGCGACGTAGAAATTTTATTCCAATCAACACCTACATAAACAAAAACAAAAAAAACATAGTTGAGCAAACCCATCCCGAGGAAAAAAGTGCAGGCATGGAAGGAATGTTTTCTGAGAATGAGTGAGGAAGACTGCAGCTAAGATCTTAAATATGTTACCAATTATGAAGTTCTATCAATTATGTTACAACCATTACTATCAATATCCAAAAATTTAGTCGCAATTACCCTGGCCATAGAAATATTGTAAATTAACAGATCGTCCTGCAACAATCAAAGACAGAAAGGACAAAAGTTCTCTAACAAGAAATAAAAATATGAGAATCATTCAGATCTACCATGTAAATTCAACAATAGACTGCAGCCTACATAGGGAAATACCAATAGCTCATAAATAGAGCTCATTTGGACACACAAATATGATTATGAACAGTGATGTGATTGGCATACTACTAACAGGTGCAACATGGAAATGATTCACGATCAAGAGTCAGACAATTTCTCTCAAGGCAACTTATTAGAACTAACGTCACATAGCCACTGTTCCTCTAGTCACTCGAGACTCAACACCAACTAGCTGTCCAAGTTTTGTTACCGTAAATGCCACTGCCAGAATTGGCATTATACTAATATCCACAAAATCCAACAACTTGCGAGTAATCCCAGATTTAGATTTAGCGAAGCCATAGGCCACACATACCTTCCCCTCCACTTGCATGCCGGTTATATGCAATTTTGTCCACATCCCAAATCCCAGCCTTCTCCTTAATTTTACAGCAAGAACTGCAAGCATATCATCAGCTGTACAAAACCTCATTCCCATCTTCAATGCCTGCATAAATTGTCACCTCATGAGCAAACAAATAGATAACAGAGAAAGATATATAGAAAAAATAGGAAGGAAATTCCATATGCTTAAGGACACATACCAAGTGGTCATCACCAGTACATTGGCGAAGAACCCTCACTTCGGTGAACATTGGCGGGTTTCTCCCCATGTATAAATGCTGCACGGCGGCCTTTTTCTGTGGATAAGGGCACAAGGCATCTCAATCAGATACAAAAAAGTCTCCTGTTGCTACCAAAAGCAAAATACAAATTGCACAAAGGAAATGCCTCCACTTGAAAGAAAGCTACAATCTTTTGAAGCAGTAACCATATGCTAAACAGAGGGACAAGGGAAGGTACTAGTCTCGTACAGCAGTCCATGGTTTGTACTTCTCCAAGAACCAAGGAATGATAGGGAGAAGAATCTTCTGTGAAGTGATCTCTTCCATGCATATAGGCCATATCTTCTCCACCGCATGGTTCAGCCACCTCACTGTTTCAGAATCAGATAGCACCTAATGAAAAGCCAAAAATGAAACCAGCAAAACAAAAGCAACCGCCATATGAATGTCAGCATCTAGCACGAATCAACTCCAAGACAGGAGAATCACATTGAAAGCAACTGGAAAAAGCAAGTGCACAAAGCATGTAAGTTGACAAATGAAACATCTTGAGTTCCAAAAGGAGGGAAATAACCCCTAAACGTAGACCTAAATCAAATACCATAAAAGCACAAGATTTATAAGAAGCAGCAAGTGGGAAATTTTACCCTTTTCCGATAAGCTTGTTTCGATTCTTCATACTGCAGATTCGTCCTCAATTTCCTTACATATCTCTCATGAACCTATCCTCGACAGTTGAAAGAACACACCAATTAGAATGAACTGAAGGAATCAAGCAACTTGAAATGACGAGGAGAAAAGGAGCAAATCCCTACCAGAAACAGATAAATCAAAGAAACGAAGTACGCGATTGGGTGAGTCCAACCGAAGCAAGAGAGCGCCCAAAGGAAAAACAGGACGGTGCCCACATGGTGCATAATCGGCATCTCTGTCAAATCCAGAATCTCCAACAAAAGCCTTGCCACTTCTCTTCTTCCCACACTTACCCAGTTACCCTTAGTTCGTGCTAAGTGCTAACTCTCTTCAGATGCAAACAGATACTGGAAATAACGCTCGGTCTTCGAAATTAAATCTGAACCCACATCGGAACCCACAAAAGCGAAGCCGAATCCCGAGTGAAATCGCATCATCTGGAACTCCGTAGGGCTGAGATTTTGATTGAGACCGTTTCTTCTTCCTGTTGAAGCACTAACGGTAGAAACTAAAACTTTTATGTTTCCCCTATTTCTTGTAAGGAAGTGTATGGAACTAATTAATTGTGATGATGGCGATTGATGAAGGCTTTTTCCTCGGAGAAAACGCGAACGCAGCACGTCAAGAAGGAGGGTAAACTAAAAAAGAAAGCTTTTCGGAGGGACAGAAGTCGGAAGTAGCCGACATTGAGCAAGAACGAGGGAAGCAAAGCAGGCAACGACAGAAGGAGACAATTGGGGCGAGTAATGTGCAGGGGAGAAAGCAGAGTATTTTAAGATTTTGATCACATGACCAGCACGTCGCACTCGCACGACAGCTAGTCCTGATCGCCTTTTCTATTTTCTATACTTGCATTTATCCTATTTAGGATTTGCACCCTCTCCTCCTTTTAGGCTTTCACCAACATCAAGTCGGATGAATACTATAATTAATGCTACACTAGAATACAATAGAAACGAAAATGTCATGCCCAATTACTTGACTTGACCATAAAACTTGTTAAGACGAGAGAGGTATAATGAGGCTCTTTGGTTCTTATCCATAGACAGATATCAAATCACAGCTATATGAGTTTGTGAGCTATATTTCGATTAATAAATGAGTTGCTTTGTTAATGAATGAACTCTTTTGTTAGATGTTAACATCTTCAATGTCGTGACAAATATTTAACTGTATTGAATTTGAAGACTTGAATGATTTGAATGGTCATCTTTGATTGAAACTCGTAATTCATATTGACGCATTCCTTATCCTTAAGCTACAAAGAAAAAGAAAACTTTGAGTGTAAATGAAATGACTAAAAAAAGATAGAAAATAGTGGTGAGCTAAATAAAAAACGGAAATCAATTACAACATGAGAGATTCAGGGGTCCAAATGGGAAATAACGCTGAAAGAAGAAAAAATGTGTAGTATTTGGTATTGATAGCTAAACAACCTCCACTTCTTCTACCCGAAGTAAAAAATGTGTTGACGAGATCATGACTCCAGTGACAAATGTCTTATGTGTTGAATCAATAAGGTTTAGAAACTCAAATTACTTAAATGATCATATTATTACTTTGAAACTCATTTTCAATAGTCACCTTCGTTATCCTTACATTTCAAAGGAAAAACATCATTTTAAGATCAAAAGATAATGGTGAAGAAGCCATCGAAAATCGAAGTAGACTAAAACATTCTTCAACCTTTCTTGTTAATAAGACTTCAAAGGATGGAAATGTTGGGACAATAATATCACCACGTTTCACATAATACAATTTTTCTTTTATAATCTCCTAATACAAACTTTAGGGCGAACAATTACGCCCATAACCAAAAAAAAAAAACCCCCCCAAGTCCCGTTAGCAACGAGAGATTAAATAAAACCAAATCTAACCAATGCCATGAGAATCCAAACGATGCGAAGCCTTTCTTACACTTGATCTTAGCCAGAAAGTTGAGAAAAGGTATGCTATTGAGAAGGCTTTGTTGATTAATGATCATGTCACATCATGGAAACCTAATTTTCACTTGCGATCAGTAATTGTTTGTGGCGGAGAGAAGGTCCTTTGCATTTTCACGAGAACTTAGTCTTTCTAACTTTTCTTTCTCCAATCTAGCATTATACACAATCGATATTCTATTTCTTCCTTTCAATTTTTCCCCACAATAAATAGCATCTAAATTAAGGAGAACTTGGTGATTAGGAATGTTATTTCTTTGTACCCGACTGCGTGTCATTTTTTTATTTTCTGTCCTGATTGTATAACAGGGTGTAATGTGTTCAATCTCGTTTTTAATCAGTACAAAATTATCCTTTGTCAAAGAAAAAAACCTATAAAACATGCATATATAGATAATTGAACTTTGTAATACGTATTCATTCATAAATAATAAATATTGATTTATTTATTCGCTTATTACCAAAGATACATGTATAGTGCTATATAGCAAACCTAAATCATATCGGATCACATGTGCATAGCACAAGTACTGTGGTCTATTAGCATTCTTCTTAGAACTATAATTATAAATTAGTATTAATTCAAACTACAGATAATATTACTAGAATTATAGCTAGCACCGTCGACAAAGCCGCCTGCACCAAAAGAGGAGGGAATCTTAATTAGTTTATAAACGATTATAATTAGTGAAAGTAACAAAAATTTGGTACTAATTCATGAATGAACTTTGTAGAAATTAGTAAGTGTTATCATATGAAAAAAATAGAGAAAAGGAAATTAAGGAAAGCAGGGCTTACAAGAACACAGCAACCAATCAGTCCAGGCTTCTCGCGGTTGTCATACTTGGCACAGAGGAAAACGCAAGCCCCAGCATACCATGGAATTGCACCCAATATGAATCCTAATATAAACCTGCTCAAATCATAAATTTTAGAATTGGGTAATATAATGGAGCTCTAATAATATGATTATATGATATCGAGATGGCAATGGATCGATTTATATCAAACTCAAAATTTGATACATGTTCTGTGTTTAAATCCTAACAACCTCCTAACATACATCAAATCCAATAAAGGGGACTTTTTTTTTCTTTCTTTCTTTGAAAGAGGTATATATATACGAGCTGATGTCTTAACCAATCGAGTTATTAGTACGAACTGTTTGGTGAGAGTGCGGGAAAGAGTAGATCAGCAGCACTTACAAGAACCAACCGAGGCCAATACCACAGCAAGGGAGGGCAGAGGATCCTCTCTGAACCACAACATGGCCTGTGACAGGAAGCTGCTGCTGGGAAGAAGGATTGTTGGTGGCGGCATATGCCTCAGTCACAATGCTAACTCCTTGGAAACTTTGTTGTTGCTGATCCATTTGCATCCCAAATCCTGCTCTCTTGATCTTGTCCCCGCTCATGATGATGACGCTTAGCTGTTAATTTCAAGCTAGCCCAAAATCTGATAACCAGAGAAGTATCTGACTAGATTTCAGAAGAAAATACTCTCTCTGTCTTTATGATATGGAGGATTCTTTGATGAAGTGAGTAAAGAAGTTAGGTGATACGGGGGGAAATCCTTAGGATCGATATATATACAGGAACACAAATCCTTAGGATCAAATCAATAGGAAACTAAATCGACCATTGTGGGTGGAGCAAGGAAGAAGAAGTCATTTCCATCCAACAGTAGAGAACAAAACAAGTGTTTTCTTGCGGTCGAATATGCAACTGTAAATTGGCAGTTGTTGCTCAAGGGAGAAGAAAACAAGAATTGTCTTAATTATCATCACCACAATCGCCAACTGGAGCCTTCCAATCCTTCTGTGTGATTGATGCCGCCAAGAAATTACATCAACATCACTAAATTAGATGGGAAACCATGTTGATATGGTCATTGAGGAATGGGAAAGCAAACACAAATTTTTTTAAGGATATATTTTACTGAACATATAGTAGTTCATCATTAAATTATTATGAATCTTATAAAATTATCGCCCCATATACAGACTTTCGTTTTACTCGCATACGATTTTTCTTACTCTTCACATTTCCTCTTCACTTCTCCTTTTGTAGACCATCAAAAACCAATTGACAAAAATGTAGCAACCCATTCAACTATAAAAACGATACATGTAACAATTTCCTATTAATCTACATCAAAAAGACTAATGAACAGATCAATGGTTGAATGGAGCGAGACATTCAAACGATCAGTGGGCTATACACAAGGAAGGTTAGTGGGCCGTCGTCTACAACAAAGATCAAGAGATACCACAGCCCAATCAACCTTTTGTGTCTCGGCCTAGTGACCGGTGGGCTTGAAATTAAGTAATGGACCGGTAATGGTACTGTGCTGCCCGGGCCTAGGTGATCAGTATGGCCGTGCAAGTCATGTGCAAATTGGACAAGTTGATAGGATTTCGAACATAGTAACATTATGTAATGTTAGCTATGTTGCCGGACAATAAGGCTTCTAATTATCAGTTGAAACTCGAATACGATATCAATATATCTTTTATAATAATACCACATGATCACATGTTCGTACATCGGCTGATATCATAAGATTTCGGGTTCAAAAGTTTTAGCTTGTACACTTGTACTTAAAGAAGTTCAAAGTTTCCTGAAAACCTTGATATCCTTCCATCGTGACTCCATGTAATTGGAGTCATGGTTCTGTGCGTAGACGCCACATTTAAAGGTATGAACAACTCCCCCACCATCTTTGGTTTCCAACTTGAGCTCTCCATCGATGTAGATCTGAACTTTCGAGGCTCCGACGTCGTGAATCACGTTCAACCGGAACCACTTGTCGTAGATGTTCTCGGCGAGCACCTTCCTCCGGTAGAAACATGAGCTTGCCATCGTAGACTCTCACCATGGCCGACGAGGCACGTGGCGCGGTGGCGCCGAATATCTGCATTATGCACACTCCCGTCGTGCCCTTGGGGACGTAGCCATAGCCTTGGAATTGCCACACTCCCGATCTGTAACCATAGCCCTGCATTGCATGTGCATATATTAGAGGTGGCAAGCTCGCGAATTGTGTGATATATAGAGGTGGATCGATCTATATATATATACTTAATTACATGGATGCCAATCAGGGCCGTCCCATGATATTCGGAGGCCCTGTTCGAAAATTAAAATGTGGCCCTAAAATTTTTCTCCACAAATTTATTAAAAATAAAATTATTAAATAATTATAAAAAAAATACATAGTCTCAGAAAATGATTACAAAAGAAATAAATGATCACGTTTCTAGTTTGACGAAGAAACCAAAACCAAATTCCCAGGGCTATCTAATGCTTCGTGGGGGCCTTGTTCCAAAATTGAGACGTGGTCTAAATTGACTTTTAACTATAATAAAACTAAAATGACTGTAATATCTTTCTACATAGTTTAAAATAAAATTAGGGTAATGTCTATTTTTTATCCAAATCTTTTTCAGATTCTTTTATATTATCCAAACCTATTAAAAATTTATTAATTAGCCAAATCTTTCATAATGCACCAAAATATTAGTCATTTTTATGTTATTGTTAACAATTCTGTAACTCTTTTCTTAGTTAAAATACTAAAATTTTGGAATCTTGACCTTCATGTGTCTCTTCCAAGTCCGTATCATGTTGTCAAGTCAATATTACTAACAAAAATGCTAACCGAAAGTTAACATTCGGCTAATTTTTAGTATTACAATCTGAAAAAGGTCTGGATAAAAAATAGACGTTACCCATAAAATTATCTATTATCTTTCTTATTTTCGTAGTCTTCATGATATCATTTTTAATTGTTATTATAGCTAAAATTATCTATTAAAATCGTCATCATACTCATAATCAATCAATCATATACTAAAAATACAATCTACAATGTACGATCGATAACTAACGGATCTAAGTGGAGGCCCCTAATATTCGGAGGCCCTGTGCCGGAGGGCGGGCCAGCACACCCTCTAGGCCGGCCCTGATGCCAATCTCGGTTCTTGGCAGGGTTTTGCTGGCGGGAGAGTGAGGCTTGTCGGTGGAGTAAACCCAATGATGTCTTTACGAAGGAGTCTCTCTATATCTATTGGAAGTTCATATAGTTCATACGTACCAAAGGGATAGACGAGACTGTGCTTCGAGAGCCAGTCCGCGACTCTATTCCCTTCCTGATACGTATGCACCAAACGAACTATCCAATTCTAAGCTATCTGTCTGCGGATCATATTCAAAAAGGTAGCAGGAGGGTGTACCGGATCCCTTCTATTGTTAATTAGATCAATGGCTAGTTAACTAGCTAGTAAATGGGGTTCGGAGCCAATGAGTTAATGTCAATATATGGCATTGTTTGTATTCTAATAATATTGGGTTTTTGTTAAAGATTTTTACTATTGTTCTGTATTTAAATAGCAGCATTTGAGACTAGTATAACTTTTTTAGCTAGTAATGAAAAGATTGACTATTTTATCCGGCAAGCAAAATATTAATTAAACTAGTGATATTTTAGCTACATATAGCCAGAACCCACGTGGTTAGAGCAGAGTGTCCACGTGGATGACATGCAGAAAACCCCTGCCTTCCATATCCAAGTCTGAATTCCTGAGAAGAAAACATGAGTAGTTATCTGCACTGCAGCATCACCAAACAGGCAACCAAATTAAAGTTCCCCTGCCCTGCCCTGTCCTGTCCTGGGAAGCAATTTCCATCTGCACGTAGCTTAGCTAGATCACCAAATCACGTACCACCATATATACATACCTTCGGCAGGGAGGGAGGGAGAGAGTTTGCCCAGAAACGGAAAACAGTTAGGGAAGAAGACACTGCAGAGAGCCAATTTTGATTCGGTTTTGAAGGGCCCCGGTGATAACTGATAAGTGTTCATAACGCTATACCCTAGCTAGCTAGCTAACTGATGGCTGGGCCGAGTAGTAGCGACTGCGGTGGTGGCGGCAACTTCAGCGGGTTCTACGAGACATGGTTCGAGCAGCTGCAGCAGCTGGTAAGGCAGCTCCGGATGTGCCCTAACCCGCCCACCTCCCACGACCACCGTGTCGCCATCTCGCGTCTCGTGCAGGGCATCATGTCCCACTACGCCGACTATTACCAGGTACCCTGCCCTCTGCTTACCTACCTACCTACATACTTAACATATGTAGTCGTCTCGTCTGTCTCGTTATACGCAGTCTATCTCGTTCGTTGTTGATGATTCCGTTGCGAGTCATGAGTAGCATCATTGTCATTTGTCAGCTAATTAAGATTGGACCATTTGGATTGGATAGGGCAATTACTTGAGATGGACAGAGATACAGAGTGATTGTCCTGTTTCCGAGATTTAGTGATCGATTCGGTTAAAACTAGTAGTTGCTCTTGTAAATCAATGGCAGTGATCAATGTGGATGCTGTTTTTCTCCTGGCCAAAATTATAAATTCTAGGTGAAAATGAGGTATTTTGATTAGCATATGATCATTGAGTTCTGTAATACCTTTTGATCACTCATTTGTCTCTCTGTTTTCCCCCATTTTGGGCAACCGACTTGCGGCTGCAATGATCTGTTGTCATCCATCCCCTACTGTACCAGCAGGTATATTATACCTATGTATGCACTTAATTACACTCGGTATTATAGCTAAGGAGGGGATGAATTGTCCATTAACATCTATATATGTTGGTGAACCTGGCGGAAACCCACAGGTGAAGTCAGCTGCCGCGGAGCGTGACGTGCTGCTGATGTTCATGGCACCGTGGGCCTCCTCCTTGGAGCGATCCCTACACTGGATTGCTGGTTGGAGGCCCACCACTCTCTTCCACCTGGTCTACACGGAGTCGAGCATCCTATTCGAGTCCCACATTGTCGACATCCTCAAGGGCCGCAAGACAGGGGACCTCGGCGACCTATCCCCGACCCAGTTCCGACGGGTGAGTGAGCTGCAGTGCGACACGGTGAGGGAGGAGAACGCCATTACCGATGAGCTCTCCGAGTGGCAGGACGGGGCGAGCGATCTGGTGGGCTGCTCCACAGAGGATGTGGAGAGGAAGGTGAGCAAGCTGGTGGGGATTCTGAGGAAGGCGGACGATCTGAGGTTGAAGACGGTCAGGCAGCTGGTGGAGCTGTTGACGCCGCAGCAGGCTGTGGAGTTCTTGATAGCTGCTGCGGAGCTTCAGTTTGGTGTCCGTGGGTGGGGACAAGAGCAGGACGGCCTTCGCCGCTGTTGATATGACATGGCTGCTGCACAGTTTTTATTATGAGTAGGTGCAAAACCAAGTTTAGTATATCGTTAGATATGGTATTGGGGAGTGTAGCTAGCAAGGAAGAGAAGACAGACGGACATTTACATTTATCAGCTTTTGTTTCTGTGCTTTGCTTCTCTTGTTATATGTTGTGCCGCATTTGTAGGGCGCTGGTGAGGATACTGGTCAAGCTGTATGCTGGTAGTAACTTGTTACCATGATTTGAGCCAGCATCCATGGTGGCCAACTTAGTGTCCCTCGTAATTCAAATAAAACTCGTGGTGTGGGAGAAGGATGAGACACAATTGAGCTGTTATTTTTGTACCTTAACTTGGAAGCATGCCATACGAAACATTGGTGATATGCACATGTAAGCCAAATGAGACGTTCACAGCAACAGAGACGTATATACATAGCGGAAAAGGGATACAAGACGATACAGATTACAACTTGCGAAGAGTTTGTACGAAGAAGTTGAGACTTGTGATGTGCAGTCCTAGGCAGGGTAATATATAGTTTTCAACAAACCCGGTAGAAGTTCCAAAGTTGCTCCAAGGGAGATGCTGCCACACGTGATACTGAAACACACGAGGAAGAATGTATGCAGCACACAGATGATCACCATACATCGGCACCCTTTGTGGCTCCAAAGACGATTGCAACTGTCGCAACCACAGCCTGTGGACAAGACATCAAACCGAGAGACAAAACAAAACACAGTCAGTGTCATTTACCTTTCCAGGGAGAAGAAACAAGTATAACGCGCATGCTGTACGGGGATGAAAAAACTGATGGCGGGGAACTGTTATCTACTGCGTGAAACGGCCTTATACTCCATGATGAAACGGTCTTGAACCTCAACCCAGTTGGCCAATCTCTCATCCCATTCCATTCACAACTTTCAGTATCAAAGTTAGCAAATGTCAACTATTCTCAAAGATGGAGCATCCGGCTGATATCTCGACACCAAGCATCTAACAACCTAATGCTAATGTTAATGTGTTGTGATCAATAGACTAATCTCTCTACAAGCAGTCTTCTGCCTGGAGTATTTTCTACAGCCCATCGCAGGCCCAGTTTTCTTTTTTCAGTATCAAATTTATAAAGCATAAAAGGTTCTACTTACAGCAATTGTACAAGCAACGTATCCAGGTTTCTCCCTGGGATCTATCTGTGCACAGAGTAGAACGAAGAGCCCAAGGTACCAGGGGATGGCGCCAAGAAAGAAACCAATGATGAACCTTCAAGAACAGGGTAGAAAAGGGGCAGATCAATAAAGTGAAGAGAGCAAATGAAGTATTATGAGACTAAAAGTAGATGTCTTGACGTGTCATGAATATTAGCAGAATTAACATGAACTACCGGTTTTACTAGAACACACTGCACAAGTTGCAGGGATGAGAACTGCCTAACTACGAAATCATTCGTGCACTCGGGTTTATCTGCTCCGAAGAATGCACTTATACATAATAAATAATATGGTACCAGGGAAAAGATCCATCGGACAGATTGTTATAGTCCAAACTAACAAGTGTTTGCACCTATACACCTGAATGAGCGAGCACTTGCAACAAAACTCTATCAACAATACTAGTGAGAACCGATGTCTGAAAAACACAGTACCAAGTGCTGAACAATGAGGTTTCCCTTCTATTGTTTTCTGGGTAGTGAGGTACATCAGCAATAATCAGGACCTAGTAGTTGCAAACATAGAATCTCAGTTGTTTCTTCTAAGAGATTGCCTATTTTTATTCGATCACATCTTAGTCTTCCTAACATGCTTTTCCATCCCTGCATCCACTACTACTGGTGTTTGCACTCATCCCCAGAGATCAGATGCATCACATAGATCACTATAATCCTTACATTTTCGTTCCAGTATTTATGAAGCTACCAGTTTAGCCACCAAATGCATTGTAGAACTATCTCGTTGCATACACTTATGTCTCATAATCCTAATCCATCAAGTCAAAACATCCCACCACCGTAAACGAACTTCTAAATCTCTGTGATTTTGTGCAACAAGGCATAATCCAATGAAGTGGAGTTCTCAGAGGTCAAGATGTTCAAAATAGTTGAAAAAGGGAGGCACTTCAGCGGCAAATTTGGTAAAAAACTTACAAGACCCAGCCGAGACCTAGACCGCAGCAAGGGAGTCGCCGCTCCCGCACAGGTCTTCCTTCAGCAACGGCATATCCTGAACCAATGATCAGCCCACTAGCTAGTCAGTAAAGCTCAATGAACCAATTTCAAAGCCACCGAATAGATCGGGACTAAAATTGAGGGGGGAAACGAGACATATACCAGGGGCGGTTTGGTAGCCTTGAGTATAGTACTGGGAGGCGGCGCCGGGGGAGGATGAGTGAGCGGCGCCGGGAGGTGGCATCGGCTGAGGGAAGCCGATGACGGGCTGCGGCGGAGGTGGCGGGTAGTTAGCGACGCCTTGAAAGGTACCGTACTGGGGAGGCTGAGAAGGAGGAGGAGGATGGTGCTGGTGACCTACAACGAATCCTCTATTCTTGGTGTCTTCTTCTCCACTCATCTTGAAATCGGAGCTGGGACTTGGGGGGAAATCGGAGGCGATCGAGCAGGAACTGCAAAATCTTATGAGATAATCTATTCACCGGAGTGAGTCAACGGATGGTGATTTAGGGCTCGTTTGCTTCATGGATTTGAAAAATGAAGGTTTTGATTAAAACCTGGGTTTTATAAAACCATGGATTTATGATGGAATTGGTTCATTTGGGTTTTGAATAAAACCATTGTTTGCTTGTTGGATTTTATGATGGATTTTGTTGAAGTATATATATGGTTATATTATGCATTTACCTCATTGCCCTTACTAACCCTTATTTAATTTTTGTATTATTATTATTGTTAGAAACAAAATTGCATCCTATCCCTTTAGCCTCGTCCCAATCCTCACTTCATCTCATCTTTTCATACTCACAGTGGTCATGGCAACCTTCTGTTATTATCATTATTAGAATTTTATATATAACCAAAGTGATCGTGGCAATCCATGTTTAACCTGCAATCCATGTTCAACTTGCAGCAGATGCTTGTTTCATTAAGCACACATGCAGCCTGCATCCATGTTCAACCTGCAATTTTGTTTTCCATCGGCAAAGTTTAAAAACAACACATGTTAACCAAGTATACAACAACCAACAACTACAATACAACCTAAAAACACATATGGAAAATATACTTACAGCCTACTTGAGGCAGACATACACAACCAGTTTGCATTGCATTCTTTAAAGGATTAGACACACGTTGGAATGGATTGGAAACTCTCAAAATCACTAATCTTCCACCTCCTACTTTCCCCAAAAACACACAAGTTTCCTATCCATATTGTATGTGTCCAGTACACACAAGTTTCATATCCCAAAATCAATCCCCCTACATACATACAACCTAACATTGTCCCTTGCTAGAACCTTGGCAATCAACGTAACAAGTTCTGAATGAAATACTTCTTGTCCTCCTCATTGTCGAGAGCATAGAAGAGTCTTGTCTTCCGATCATTCTCAACTAAGGTCATTGCAGCATCAAGGACTTGGCAGCGTTCCAGTCCTTGAATTTTTCCTATTTCTGCCATCAATGCAGCCTCCCTTCCACCCTCTTCCTCACTATCACCTACAACTGATCCAAGAGCATCAAGTGCCCTCGATATTATAGGCTTCAATCCTCCCAGTTCCTCGGCCACAGCATCAATTGCATTGTCAGTCTTGTTCTCCTTCTTTATAGCCTTCTTCTTCATATCGGAGTTGCTGGCCCCTTGAGTTGGTTGAGCTGGTGGGGTCACAGCCGCTCTCTGGGAGATCTCAATCCCTTCATTGATCAAATCTTCCATAAAGCTCTCAATCCCTGGGCCTTCTACATCAATTGGTGTCTGAATGCCATCCACGTCCACGAAAGCAGGTCCATCTACGATCGGGGAGTCAACCACATCAGTAATACCAGCAACCTTTCTTCCATTTGCAGGGCCAACTTTTCCAAACACCTTTAGCAATTCATCATAGAATGGGAAGGGCTTCCTATTAAGATTCTTGCAGTTTGGGTGAACCTAGAAATAATAACTACATTAGAAGGAGTATCTCGACAAAATCAGGACATTCAGCAAATGACAATAACATAATTACCTTAATCAATGCTTCAAAGACATCATCATCCAGTGTTGGAGTCTTTGTTACATTGTTCCACCCACAACCGCTCTGATTACGCACCAACTGTACAGCGTGGAAATCTTTCTTCAACTTTTTGTGCCTAGATCGAATGTTTGGTTCTACTTTTACCCCGCATCCAGGAGACCTCTCTAGCATCATATTCTCCAGCTCCGAAAAGGCCCCATTCTTGAAGGATCCATTCTCCACCTGATGCCTTTGAGTCATCTCCACCATGCATTGTATGAGCAATGCATTAAGGGATTCATTCCACTGGAAGTAAGGGCCAGTTGGTTGAGGTACCTCTCCTTCGGTTGTGACTACCTTTCTCTTCCTTGTCATCCTATAAAATCAACAGTATATTACAAATGGAAAAATCAGCAGCTTGTACACAAGACTACAAACCAGCAGGCTGGTACAAATGAAAAAACCACCAGCTTGTTCACAGGACTACAAATGAAAAAGAGGATACATAAGAGAGTTTATTAAAGCTGTTTTTTAAGTTAATCAAAATAGTAACTAAGAATAGACGCAATACTAATTACCTTCTAAGTTGAAGGTTCGACTCAAATTATTTGGTGCTTAAACCAAAACCAGAATTCAAATGGCGGCACTTTCACAAACTTATACCAAATTTAGATAAACTAACCCTAAGTGTAAAAATGCAGCACAAGTGTAGTCAAATTAAAATAGTATTTTTCTCAATCTAACACCAAATTAGTATAGTATATCAACATTCTAACAAACCAATCAAAGGATAATAGAAAACATCCAAAGAAGCAGTACAGGGGAACCATATTAGAACAAAGAAGACAAAACTGGATTTTCTCTCAATCCCTTGCAGTCTCATCGATACAGAACAAACACATTCATGTTATTTCATCACACCCACTTCAGCAACGCTATTTATAGAGAGAAGAAATCACATAAGATTTTTTAGGGTTCCATAGAAGACAGTACGGTAGGGGACACAATAGAATAAGGAGCATACCTGATTGTTCAGGCCTTTCTCTACAGGCGAAGGCGAGGACGATCAGAAAAGTCACAGTCTTCCAACCGTGTTCTTCTTCTCCAGCAGTGCAACCCGTTTCCTCTGAGATTTTTCTTCGTTTCTTTCTCCTTTTCGTCTTTCCTTATCACTGTCGACTTAGAACACACCTGATTGTCGAACCGACGAAGGCGAGAACGATCAGTCTTCACAAGCTCTTCCGGCGGTGTTCTTCTTCAGTGATGCAAGCCATCCGAATTCATCTTCTGAGATTTTTTTACTTCGTTTGTTTCTTCTCTCCTTTTGTCTTTCCTTATCTCTGTGGGGAACGAGTTAGAAGAAAAAGGAAGAGGATAGGTTGGGCATTAGAAAAATAAGTGGGGATACAATGGTAAAGAACCATCATGGATTTTGTAGCCTATCCCAAATCCCACCTCTTGGGCTGGTTTTTTCAAGTCCATGGGGCCCATGGATTTGGTACCTCAAAGTCTGTGGGCCCCACAGATTTATATTCTCAAATTCCATCAAGCAAACAAAGGTTTTGGTCATAAGTCCATTTGATTTGGGTTTTATTTACTAAATCCATGATAAAACCCTCAAGCAAACAAGGCCTTAGTGATTATATACACGGTGATGACTGATGTGAATAGCGCAAAATATATATATACTATTTATTTATAATTTATATTTAAATAAAATATTCATGTCTAAATACAATTTTTAACATTGATATCTATATATTTATTGAAGCAATATATATCATAAAAATTTAACATTTAAATTCATAAAATAATTAATTATTTTTTAATAAATAAATTAATTAAAATGATGACATTTTGCTTAGAGGTCGTAAATCAATAATGTCGGTCATACTGATAGTGTTCATGCCTTCAACCGACTAACATTCCATCAATGTGAGTATGTGACAACCATGCTACAACTCTTTTGGCTTTTGTCAAGGTTATTGAATCAGTCTATACCATTATGCTGGTTTAGCAAGTGATATGGTCTAGTGCAATCAGTTTATATGTTGGGTTTAACACAACATACGAGGAAGTAAAAATTATTAATACCAAATTAATTGTGCATTTATATATAATCTATTTTAAGATAATATACCTATAATCTCCATCCATATTTAACTATCATATTACATTGCAAATAAAATGACAAACCCGATATTCAACATAAATTAAATAAATAACATCCACATTCAAATATTCATATGTTTTTTTAGTTAATTCCCCCTAGAAACACTTAATTTGGTTTAAATACCATAAATTGACGGCTCGGGCGGACCACTCTATTTGTTTTGATTTCCCCTGATTTTCAATCCAATTCTACGATCAACCGGGCCAGTTTGTTTGAGGTGAAAAGAAATTTGAGGAGATGACGGAAGAAAGCGAAAGGCAGGAAGGGGCCTTATCAAAACAGCAAAATATGACAGGCGGAGAGGCAGCCACATTTCTCATCAAATTCCCCCATACCCAAAAATCCTCCATCTATTCTTCTTCCTCCACTCTTTGCTCCCTTGCTGCTCTCACTTCTCCTGCCCGAGAGATATTCCCTCGGAACTCTCGAACCAGAAGAATAAAGCTCCCCGGTGAGTGCTTGCTTTCATTGATGCTCCCTAATTTCCCTTCAAGCTTTGAAACTGGGCTTGTTTAATTTGTTTGTATTCCACGGAAACTATGGAGCTATAAATAATCTGGTTTTCGAGTTTATAGTAGTGAGGGGTAAGTGGGAGAAAAGGGTGTGGGAAAGTTTGTTCCTTTTTCTTCTTCCATGGGTTCGATGGTGGTGTTAGTTGGAAGCATGCCGTCTTTAGCTTCCTTAGTTAGCCTGGGGAGCCGGGGCATGGCGGCAGGGACCTCCACCGCTCCCGAATCCTCGTCTTACTCCATCGTCCGTAGGGTTTCGATGTCCAAACGCGCGCTTAGGCGAGCCAGGAAGTGGCATTGTACATCAACAAGTTCGTCAATTTGTAGATACTCGGTTACCACCACGGATTTCATTGCCGAGCAGGCCAATGCAGTGTCGTCTGCGGATTCGAGTATTACAATTAGAGACAATAATAATAGTAGCAGCGATGGGAAAGAAGGAGATGGTAATGATGTTGTACTCAAGGCTGCTCCGAGGCCTCTCTTGAGACCTTCTATCAGTTTGAAGAGTCCATCTCGAGAGTCCTCGTTGACTAATAGTAAGGTGGAGAGTGGTGGGGATGATGAGAGGGGAAAGGTGATTCTGTCTCTTGATGAGGTTCTGGAGAAGGCTGAGAAGCTTGAAACTGGTAAACCGAGTCAGCTTGGTAGTCGAAATGGTAGTAGTGGGGCTAGTAGTAGTGTGGATAAGACGGAGGTGGCTTCCAATCAGGGAAATCCAGCTGCGGCTACTCGTAAAGCTAAGACCTTGAAGAGTGTATGGAGGAAAGGTGACACAGTGGCGAATGTGCAGAGGGTGGTGAAGGAGGTTCCCAAGAGTGTGAATGACGTTGTTAAAGAAGAACCTCTAACTAGCACTGATGGGGACAAACTGGAATCCCTACCCAAAGCCATGCAACCGCCTCTAAGACAGCAGCCACAGTTGCAGGCTAGGCCTGCTGTGGCTCCTCCTCAACCTGTAGTGAAGAAACCTGTCATTTTGAAGGATGTTGGGGCATCTCGAAAATCATCATTAGTTCCTGATGAAGTTGATGTAGCTAGTTCTGGCAAGAGTAAAGAACGACAACCAATATTGGTTGACAAATTTGCACGTAAGAAGGCGGCTGTTGATCCTATGGTTTCTCAGGCAGTTTTAGGCCCAACAAAGACAGGGGGGAAGGGACCTGCTATGGGGAAGTTCAGAGAGAAGAGGAAAAATGTTTCAGCTGGGAGCCCAAGGAGGCGGCTGTTGGCTAATGACGATATACCCGATGATGAGACATCGGAGCTTAATGTCTCGATACCTGGTTCAAGGAAAGGGAGGAAATGGAGTAAAGCGAGTCGGAGGGCTGCTAGACTACAGGCGGCCAAAGATGCTGCTCCTGTGAAAGTAGAGATTTTGGAGGTAGGGGAGAAAGGCATGGAAGTGGAGGAATTGGCCTTTAATTTGGCCATTGGTGAAGGTGATGTTCTCGGTTATCTGTACTCGAAGGGAATTAAACCTGATGGGGTGCAAGTACTGGACAAGGACATGGTGAAGATGATATGTCAAGAGTATGAGGTGGAGGTCGTTGATGCTGATCCAGTTAAATACGAAGAAATGGCAAGAAAGAAGGAAATCTTTGATGAAGATGATTTGGGCAAACTGGAGGAAAGGCCTCCTGTACTAACAATAATGGGTCACGTTGATCATGGGAAAGTAAGTACAATCCGTCCTTTCCTTGCTTTACTGATGAACAGGCTATACTACGAAGCCTTTCCCTTCTGATAGTCCTTTTTCATGAATAAGTGAGTGCTAATTCATGCTTTCTCTTACCTGCGTGACAGACAACGTTGCTGGACTACATTCGTAAAGCTAAGGTATGCTCAGAGAGTTATCATCTCGGTGCTTCAAAATTTATGTTCTGTGCTATGTCCTCATCTGAAATCAGGGTTCTTGTGTTTCATCTATTTACTTTACAATTTTACGGACCTCCTTTCTTCTGGTTATCAAATGTCGCTCTGAGAACTAAATTTAACAGGATGTCATTTTTTTTTTGTCTTCTAAAGCTTAGTTGGTCATTTCCAGCAGGACCTTTTCACAAATTACTAGTGCTTGCTATTTGCAGGTGGCTGCATCAGAGGCTGGTGGGATTACTCAAGGAATCGGAGCATATGAAGTTTTTGTACCTGTGGATGGCAAAATGCAGCCATGTGTCTTCCTCGATACTCCTGGGCATGAGGTAAGCTGAGTTGAAAGAACTCAGCTTGGTTTTTTGGCACCTTGCTGTTCAGGTTTATAAATGTCTCGTGCATCCCTTATGCCCAGATGATATATGTGTTATCTGATCCTGTAGGCATTTGGAGCAATGAGGGCACGTGGTGCACGAGTGACGGATATTGCCGTTATTGTGGTGGCAGCTGATGATGGTATTCGTCCTCAGACAAATGAGGCCATAGCTCACGCCAAAGCTGCTGGTGTACCTATCGTGATTGCTATAAATAAGGTCAACCAATAACTTTGAGAATTTTGTTTCTTAGCTCTTCGAATTTTCTTACCTATACTGGTATGGAGTATGGACTTCTGTGAATTGCTGAATACTGACGTCAATTGTTTTTCAATGCACTAGATAGACAAAGATGGAGCTAATCCAGAAAGAGTGATGCAAGAGCTGTCTTCAATAGGTCTCATGCCAGAGGATTGGGGTGGTGACATCCCAATGGTTCAGGTCTGTCTTTATCACATTTGAGCTCTTAGGTTTACAGCTTTTTTCCTATTCTTACATTTTTCTGTGTGCTACTGGCAGATCAGTGCTCTTAAGGGGAAGAATATTGATGAACTGTTGGAAACTGTTATGCTTGTTGCCGAGGTAAGTTATCTTTTATTTGTTTCTCAGCTGTGTCTCTCCGCCTCTCTTGTGAATCTTCATTTTGATAAGTTTTGAATGAGTTATATGCCTGCATTCTTGGCCTGGTCAGCAATAGTGTCCTAGAATTTTTAGGAGAGTTAGTTTCCGTCTAGGCCTTCTCAGAAAGAGTGTCTAGATGGAAAATAATTGTTGATAAGTCCATCCATCTGTTTTGAGTTTGACTTCTTGATACTTGTTTCAGCTACAAGAATTGAAGGCAAACCCTCACAGGAACGCAAAGGGTACTGTAATTGAGGCAGGTCTTAACAAAGCTAAAGGACCCATGGCTACATTTATTGTACAGAATGGAACCCTTAAAAAGGGGGATGTTGTGGCTTGTGGAGAAGCATTTGGAAAGGTTGGTTGACTAGCTATTTTCATATTCGGCTGGAACATAAGATTCTTTTATTCTTTCTAATCCTTTGTGTCCGAATTTCACCCCTCAAATAGTTACCTTGCTCCATGATAGGTGCGGGCTTTATTTAACGATAGTGGAAGTCAAGTTGATGAAGCTGGACCGTCAATACCTGTACAGGTTTGTCTTGTAGATTGTTCAGTGTACATTCTATTCAGGTTCTATCGAGTCTTTGTCTGTACAAGAGACAAGAGTGTTGTCACAAAGATTTTGATCTATGGTACTATTTTCAAAGCTGAAATATAGTTGTTGAATTTGTTAACAGAATCATATAAGTGCGGGAGTTATGTTATAAATTTGTTTGCTAGCCTCGGTTGAAAATAACAATTTATTTATTGAAAATTTAAATTACCATTTTACAATTATTTCGTTTTAAATTCAGTATCATATGTGCTCAAGTTATACTATACTTGTGTTAATTGATGCTTATGGATAATCTTCTTCTCTATGTGCAGGTCATTGGACTAAATAATGTACCACAAGCAGGTGACGAATTCGAAGTTGTTGGCTCCCTTGATGTTGCCCGTGAAAAGGCAGAAGCGCGTGCTGTCTCATTACGAGATGAGCGCATATCAGCAAAGGCTGGGGATGTGAAAGTGACACTGTCTTCCTTAGCCTCGGCTGTTTCTTCTGGAAAGCTATCCGGTTTGGACTTGCATCAGTTGAACATAATACTGAAAGTTGACCTTCAGGTACATTTGACATTTATTAATTGCATATCGACCCTCCTGATACAAAAGTATTCTTGTGAGCTATCTAAATCTCTTTTATTGTGTCAGGGATCTATTGAGGCTGTAAGGCAAGCATTACAGATACTCCCTCAAGACAATGTGTCCTTGAAGTTCCTCTTGCAAGCAACAGGAGATATAAGCACCAGTGATGTTGATCTTGCTGCTGCTAGTGAATCTATAATTTTTGGATTTAATGTGAAAGTACCAGGTTCAGTTAAAAAGTACGCCGAGAACAAAGGTGTGGAGGTTCGGCTATATAGAGTCATCTATGAACTTATAGATGATGTTCGCAACGCAATGGAAGGACTTTTGGATTCTGTTGAGGTGACTGCTTTTCTCTCTCTGTGATTTTCCTTGACAAAATCTTAAAAATTACTGGTTTCCTTGCAAGTGAAAGGAATTTATATTCTATTGCAATCATAACTTTCTAAAAGTTGAATCTTACTTTCCGGTAATAGGAACGGGAAATGATTGGGTCAGCAGATGTACGAGCTGTATTCAGCAGCGGCAGTGGTCGTGTTGCTGGGTGCATGGTGACTGAAGGGAAGCTAGAGAAAGGATGTGGCATTAAGGTGGTACGGAACAAGAAAAGTGTACATGTCGGTGTTCTTGATTCATTGAGAAGAGTTAAAGAAATTGTGAAGGAGGTAGGGGGTGCCACGATTCGTACTTAATTCGTCTTATCAGTTACTAGCTTCTCTCAGCTTGAACATCTCTCCCCCTTTTTCTACCCGTATGAATGAATCCCTTTTTGCTTGAGTATGACTTAGTTCGTTTTCTCGAACAGGTGAGTGCTGGCCTAGAATGTGGTATTGGGTTGGAAGATTACGATGATTTTGAGGAAGGAGATGTACTGGAAGCTTTCCACAAGGTCGAGAAGCGACGAACTCTAGAAGAGGCATCGGCTTCAATGGCTGAAGCTGTGCAAGGAATGAACTGACCTGACTGTATATATAGATCATCATCACAGGTGGAGAAAAGCATTTTGGGAATTCGACGACAACCCAACTCGAAGGGGATGTGTCATAAATGGACTATGTGTGGTGACCAAAATCTGCAGACTGTAAAACGAATTCAACAACTGGGTCAGGCAGGCTGCTGCATTCGTGAGCTTTGTGAAAGTCTGCAGACTCAAATCCAGAATGAGGAAGGTGGGGATGGATGCAATGTAGGAGGGCAGTGAGTTTTAGGTCGTGCATTGCTTGATCCAGTTGGTGTATATAGTGATGGTGGTGGCCTGGTGGGTGATTGTTGTATATCTTCTTCATATCTCAGTGGATCTTTCTGCAGAAGAAAGGGAAGTAACTAATTTAAAGGATTATCAATCAACCATTCTCAGCCATTTTCCTTTCTTTCATCCATATTTCAGTTTTTCCTTGATCTAGCTCATCGTAAAATGTCAAAAGAGTGCAATTCCATATAAATAACCTTTTTATAGCATATTTAAAGCAAAATACAAAATATATTAGCACTAATCATAGTTTACATGCATAAAATTCTGAACCCATATAACTAACTTACATGCAAGGTGATACATCATTTTGTGTATATTGTTAAATGCATCTCGTTGGTGAGAAAATGAATGATTAGACATATAGAGTTGACCCAACCACATACAAACAGAAATAATTAATGTTCCACTATATGCATGTATTTGATGGAATCCACAATAGTGTATTTAAATTGTCATAAAAAATAAAAATGTATTGAATTGAAATCATGGTATTGCAGGGCAACCACCAGACTTGTACCAGAACGAGGTCCCCAATCATATGCTTTCATCACATGGTTTTGTTTTCTCTCCCTCCAATTGGTTTAGTCTCTTTGCATTATGTTCTAATCTTTCCAATTGTTTATGAAGATCAATCACGCACCCTCCAATGGACCGTTGAAGCATCTGTTACACAATCGAGAAGAATAGAACAAGCACGGGAAAAAGAGGTTCTGGGTCTCTAGTTAGGGAGGATGAGCACATTACTGCTGAATGACAACGGCGGATCCAGAACAGGTTAGAGTACTGGGCCGCATTTAAAAAGCGGTTGAGAGAGTTGGATCATAACCCTATAAATATTGAAATATATACTCAAAATCGAAAATTTACAAGTACTATACGCGAGCTTTGGATCCGGAGAGAGGGTTGAGTCGTGGCCCGGGGCAATCCCCCTAGATCCGCCGCTGCTGAATGGTATGCTCCGAAGGCTTTATTTTAACTTAATGACATTGGTGTAGTTGGCAAGATATTATAGCGTGGTCCAAAGACAAAGTAAAATGGAGCAGACTACAAGACTTGAGCAAAAATCATCGTCTACTAACATAGCTTTCCTATACTACAAAGTGTATATATAGTTTGAAACTGTGTTGTCGCATCTTATATTGCATCTTGTTTTGAACATCTAGCCTACTTCCGAGTGAGTTCCATAGAACTCACATCACTTAACCTCCCTCCCTCCACCAATGTACACTGCAATATTAGTGTTGGTACTATCGCCTTAGTTCAGATAGTTCAGGATCCTTTTGGTTAACCCGCTTACTATATGTAATTATTTTGTGTAGATGATATATTGATACATAATTAAGTTACGTCACATGTATCTATATACAAGCTCAACTTGTATCCATATATGATATGCTCATATACTCATTCAATTCGGGTTTTATCCTACACAAACTAGTGAGATTCAGATTTCAGACACCTCAAAGAGACTGGGAAAAAAAGAAACAGTTGGCTGTGTTGACTAAGTGTATGAAAACACCCGATAATAGCAATGAGCTATCACTAAGAACATCCCATCTCGCTCTCATGCAAGTTGAAGATCCAAAAAAAAAAAAAAACCCCAGTTTAATAAACAAAGGAAAACAAAACTGTAATGCTAACAGCTCCCACATTAGAATCAATTATTAGATTTGTGTATTATTAGATGAACATTACCGCCCGACATTGCATTCAAGTCACGAACCCACTAATAATTTGACCCCCACATAAATACAAATCATTATTATTTATATTATATAATGTGGATTCGCGGGTATGAGAATTCTGATATTAATTAATTATCTGATATATTTTGAATTGCTTATCAAAACCTAATTGACCAATTGCGTGCTTCCCAAAACGATGCATGGTTATGAGTGAAAGTAATTGTTGGCGGCTGCCGTCCAAATTCAATTACAAAGTTCATTGTTGGTTTGCTTAGCTTTGTGTTAATGTCAGCGTCATTAAATTCCCACGCAGCTTTTCTGACAAACGTCTAACCAACACTCCTTGGATTCTTCTCCTCTTCTTTTCTTGGGCGATCTGTTCCCAATTTATTACCTTCCTCTTTCAGTTCATACTTTAATCATATCCTAATTATTGCTAATCTTGATTCGTTAATCAAACCCATTATTGAAAATCAAAACAAAACAAGAAAAAAGAAAGACTCTGTCGTCTGTGCCTCCCTGCCACCACCTTGATTAATAAATTCCATCCAAAAGTTTCCGTTCGGTCAACCAACCAGCCGGGCATTTAATGGGTCAAATAACATCAGGGGTCACTCAACTTTGGAGGTCGCTAACTTTACTTTCTTAACCAATTTGGCCATTAGAGTTTGGAATGAGTAATGTAAGTGTAATGACGTTAGTTAATCTCACTTGGACTTTCCATCCGGAGTATCACGGTTGATGGGTTGGTTTTTTTGGGTAGTGAGGGGGTTGGATGATAGCATACAAGCCATGTTGTGTGATGTGGCAAATTTGGTTGGTATTATTGTCAAGTAGACAATTTCAACAGGAAATTTGATAGAATTGAAATACTACCCCAAACAGGTGCAAAACAGGCGATACAATTTGATTTAGAACGACTCGTTTTGCTAAATAAAGATGGAGAATATGACAATGTTAATCCATGGATACTCTCACTCAATACTAGCTAGAATAATGTTAGGTAACTCATTATTTAGCAAGCTTGAACATACAATCAATTCACAATAGATATTACACGGGAGGTAAATACACAAGAGTAAAATCATCCATCCTTGCGGTTATCAAAACTAATATAAATCACTTTCTCGCCCTATCCCACCATAGCAGCAATAGGGGGAGTCGTGGTCTACTTCGTTATTCAGTTGATTGAATTTACACGACAATATGACCAAATTAGATAAAATATTAAGCATAGTGGCAAATATGTGCATACATCTTTAGTTTTAGTGTCTGTATGTAGTTTGACCCTTAATTATTTCGCCAGTCCGTCCCCACCTTCCTTCCTCAATCTATCCTCTTTTTATAACACCAAAAACACCTCCACTTCTTCTTCCCATCCATTATTTCCTTCAATATTCGACCATGGACGAAGCTCAAGATAATTCCTACTACGACCAGAGCAACAACAATGGCAATACTTCCTCCCCCTGCGACACCGACCTCGATTTCAGCTTCAACTCCACCGTCACCGATCGCACTTTCGCCTCCTCCAGTGCCCGCTCTAGCCTCGCTCGCTCCAGCTTGACCCTCAGCTTCAACGACCGCCTCTCCACCACATCCTCCTCCGTCGCCGCCACTTTTTCTTCCTACAACTCCTTCGACTCCCTGCACCACCGCAGATCCGACCCTCACTGGTCGGCGATTAGAACCGCCACGAACCTCTCCTCCGACGGGCGCCTCCACCTCAGCCACCTCAAGCTGCTCCGCCTCCTTGGCGCCGGAAATTTGGGCCGAGTCTTCCTCTGCAAAATTAGGGATTGCAGCGACTCTGCCTCCAGCCAATTCGCCCTCAAAGTTGTGGATCGAGATACCCTCAGCAAGAAGAAGCTCTCCCACGTGCAGATGGAGGCCAAGATCCTCTCCCTGCTAGACCACCCTTTCTTGCCTACGCTCTACGCGCGAATCGACGTCTCGCACTACACCTGCCTCCTGATCGATTACTGCTCCAACGGCGACCTCCACTCTCTCCTCCGGAAGCAGCCGGGGAACCGGTTCCCACTCGCCGCGGTGAAGTTCTTCGCCGCCGAGGTGCTGGTGGCGCTCGAGTACCTCCACGCGCTGGGGATTGTTTACAGAGACCTCAAGCCGGAGAACATTTTGCTGAGGGAGGACGGCCACGTCATGCTCTCGGATTTCGATTTGTGCTTCGAGGCCGATGTGGACCCCACCTTTCGCTGCGATCGCGTGGGGCCCACGCGGCGGCGGCGGCGGAGTAGGAGGAGGAGGGGGAGAATGGTGGTGGAAGAGATGGAGGCGGAGTTCGTCGCGGAGCCGAATGCCGCATTCTCGAGCTCGTGCGTTGGGACCCACGAGTACCTTTCGCCGGAGCTTCTCTCCGGGAGCGGCCACGGAAACGGCGTCGACTGGTGGGCGTTCGGGGTGTTGATCTACGAGCTGATGTACGGGACGACGCCGTTCAAAGGTGGGAGCAAAGAGAGCACGCTCCGCAACATCGCGTCGAGCAAGCAGGTCGCGTTTCCTCCGCCTTCCGCGGAAGGGATGGAAGAGGCGGAGGATTTGATTCGGAAGCTTCTCGTGAAAGATCCGCGGAGACGGCTCGGGTGCAGCAAAGGCGCGACGGACGTGAAACGGCACCGTTTCTTCGAGGGGATCAAGTGGCCGTTGATAAGGCACTATTCTCCGCCGGAGCTTCGCGGGCTGGCGGTGAAGAGAGCCACTAGTAACGGAGCACGTGGCGGTCACGTGATGACGGTGGCGCCAAAGATTCGGCGGAGTTGGTGCGTGAAGGGGCTGGTAGACTATATGTTTAGGAGAAGGAAGAAGAGATATTCCCGGCTGAATTCTTCTTCTGGTTATCATCATCAGGCCAGCACAAATTGCAATTACTATCAGTATAAAGTTAGGGTGGCTTGATTGGAAACAGACTTGGATTCCTTTTTTGGGTTTTTTCCCTCTTTAGCCTCGAGTGAGTGCATGGCGTGTGTTAAGAATCGTCAAACGATTATGTAAATTATCGAGAACGATAAGACATGTTTTAGGGATAGTGTGTTCCATTTTTCACTCCAGAGTAAAGAGTGTAAGCTTCCATAGTGTAGCCTTGCTCTTTACTTGCTTAGCTTTTTTTGTTAAACTGATATTGAAATCCTCTTAAGTAATATATCAAAAAGAAAGATTTTACAAAAAAGTAACAAGAATATGTTCTCTATAGTGTTGAGTCAATACAAATTTATGTGGAGTTTGCGCATATTAATTGTCGAAGTTTTGTATGATTGTTGTGAATGATAACATTATGTACAAGTTTTTGATGAGTTTTTGAACAAGTTTTGTTCTACAATGGGCCGAGAGAAGATAAATTTGGAGGAGGTGAGGCCGACGGGCTAGGCCTGTAGCTGGATGTCGCTAGGCCACGGATAGGAAAAGTGAATGCGCAAGGCCCAGTTAAGGGTCGTGGGCTGGTACCACCCATCTTCTTGTGTCTTCTTCTTGTGAGTTGAGTGAGTTTGAGAGCTTGTGAGAAGGCTGCCTAACATCTCTAACGGAATTGAGAGTTAGGGCCGCACGATCAAGAGTAAGGCCGTGACGGTGGGAATATAAAGGCGGGCCAAAATTTCTCGGAGGAAGAAGATAAAGGAAATGAGCGGGTATGGAGCGGAACTGTAGACTACAATTCTAGAAGACCACTCAACTGCCTCATCTGTCGTCGCCGACCATTTCTGTTGCAACACTTGTGCAATATTGGTATCACCGCCGTCTCCAATCACTACTGTTGAGCTTTTCAGCCTTCCGTCGTTGTGCTCATATGCTTTTTTCTTCGTCGGTAGGTTGAGTGAAAAAAATTTAAGCTATCGAATAATAATGCATGAGGGTGCGATCATAACCACAATATGCTTTTTTCTTCGTCGGTAGGTTGAGTGAAAAAAATTTAAGCTATGGAATAATAATGCGTGAGGGTGCGATCATAACCACGACTATATTTCGAGAATTGTGGTTACAACTATGTGAAACTTGTGGTTATAGAGACTATTTCTTTCCCTTCCTTTTCTCATCCCCTTCCAGCAAGGTTCCTCTTTTTAGGTACTCCAAGAGTCCTAAAATCTATAATTCTTGGGGTTCTATCAGAAAAAAGTTGAACAAAATTCAGAAGAAAACCGAAAACGGAACAATATCAGAAAATGATGACAAACGAGCTCCCGCCCAGAATTGCTGTTGCAAGTTGCAACAACCGTACTAATAAATAATAATCATCGATAACTCTTCGATGCTTCCATTACTAGCTTGTCCATAAACTGGCACTTCTTGTCGAATCTCCACCCGGGATTGCTCTGTAAGAATTCCAACACCACAAAGATAGACAAATTAAACCACAATCATCCGAAAGTCGACACCCCTAAGCTTAACTCGATGCTGGTATTAGGGAATAGGTGCGGTTCGAACTTTTGAGTTTCTCTCTAGACGAATGAGTAGTTCATTGCTCAATTAGATTGAAGATAGATAAGCAAAATGAAAGGGCCAGCGAGAAGAGGAATCAAAGCCCTCGGATAGACGAAATTGGTCCATCTTCAGTGCTCAAGGAGGCCTCTATATTCACTGTTGGCCAACTGTAACTAAGACTCTAGAGCCTTTTCTCTTTCCGATTAGGTTGATTAGCAATATATCCCTAACTAAGTCTGCTCTGAATTATCTTCAGCATTGTTTATTAAAGCTAAAGATTCAAAACCTAAACAGTCATAGCACCACAAGTCTTCAGCATTCATTACAGCTTTGCACTATCCATGGGATACTAATAATGACTATTTCTTGAGCAAATGTCCAACTCTTCCCAAGTCCTTCCACAAAAAAATCCACAGTTTTTACTTAGGGATTTTGCCTTCAAGTATCACTTTGCAGCGATTGATCCTAAGTTAATTTGAAGTTAAGAAAGTAGCCAAAAGACATTCCTTGAGAAATCATGAAGGGTCTAGGAATCATAAGACCACGAAATGGAAAATCATGAAACTCGCACGAAATTCAGTCGTTGGTTAAAGCCTAGCAGACCATATGTGAAATCCAAATCGAGACTAAGTACTATGGCAGTCGTTTAAACTTCCGATATGCAAACAACATGATATGATCCTCAAAATTCAGGGTAAGATTGGCAGTAAAATCACTAACCTGAAAGAGAAAGAACCGCTCGATCAGCGAAACGTTTCGCAGAAGGAGGAGCAGCAGCAGGAATGGTTTCTGCAACTCTTTCCAGCTCTTGTTGCTGTTGTTTTGCTGTTACCCTATCAGGTCCACTGTAGTGCTCAACTATCTTTTTCAATAGTGGCACATTCTTCATTGTTTCTTCAACCGCCTCCTGATAAAAGAGAAATATGAACCATACGTCAACAACGAGGAAGCAGAATCAATGCTACTTTCTCTTGTAGAGGGAATTGATAACTGAAATTTTCCTTGTTAGAACAAAACGAGCAGTCATCATAAATTATTATTAAGTTTAGAACAAAAACAGTTGGGGTTGGTTATCAGCCTCAAGAATTTGTTATCAGATTTGTTGACGGGACACAAAGCAAGGCAGTCGTCAGTTCACTTACAGCTGATAAGAAACAAAGTGCTTAGCAACATTCAGACGCACCTCCCATTCCTCTTGACTCTGGATTCCTTCATAGGACATTAAGAATGGTTTCACTTTCTCCAACATATCCCGCAAGGGCATTGGTGGTTTCTCGTCAATGTCTGGCTTCAGATCAAATTCTCCCATGAGGTATTCTTCCTCAAGCTCAATCTGCCATTCAAAGAAGAACAACTCTCGCATCAACAAACTATTTCACAGTAGCATCTCTCCAAGAACACATCAAAGCAATAGTATATGATTAATGATTTACTAACACGAATAACCATTGCATACTAGTTTCTCATCAGTATAAGAAATCTTGAAGAACAATTCAAAGAGTCTCTATAAGCACAATCAACTCATTACTGAAGTTGGTGTCCAGTGCATCCAAGAATTCATCCTCGAGAGGTGATGGCAAAACTCTGCCACTCATCTCTTCGAACCCATTAACAAGCTGGTTCATGAACTCAACACCAACAGTTTGTGCCAGTCTCTCACCGTCAGCTTTGTTTCCAGGAAGAAAGTCCTCGCCTTCAGAATCGTCAGCAGCAGCAGCAAGTTGATCTCTCTGCCGTCCCCTTCCACCGCCGTAATATCCACTCCCTCTCCCCATTCCCCTTCCTTGACCTCTTCCCATATAGCACCACGGCCACGCCCCATCTGCATTTCACCGTCACCCCTTCTCCTCCCTTCACTTCCCTCAGCTCCACCTCGCCGCGCTATCTCATCCTGGCTAAATCTCGGCCTTCTCTGACTCTGCTCGCCAGCTCCAGCTCTATCGTCAACATCACCATCAGCCGTTCACGGGCTCACCCTGGCACTACGAATATGCCTGTTCACTTCCTTCTCCGGTATTCCTTGCGCCACCACCGGTGCATCAGATTTCCCGCGGCCGAAACTCGGACGACCTCAAACTGGAGGGCAGATAACTCTACTTCGCCGGAGGAACAGAGCCTCTCCCTGGCGCCCCAGGTGCAGGCTTTTCCAATCGCGGTCCCTCCGCAGCGACGCCCATCCCGCTCCCGCGTCGGATGCTACCGCTGCCTGGAGTGACAGCCGTCTGTTTTAGGGAAGAGATGAAGGAAGAGAACTCCGGGAAAACCGGTCCGGATGCGAGAGGCTTGCCGCGGCCGTGACCTAGTCCTCCCAGGTGCCGGCTGAGACTTCTTCTCCTCTTCTGCGTTGCGTGTCTCGTCGGTGAATGCGAATTGGCCGGGAGGGAAGATCCGACCACGACCGCGCCACGTCCTCCGCCGGAGGAAGTGGAGAATGGGGTGAAGAAGGCAGAAGAGCTTTTGGGAGCATGATTTCCGACGAAATTGGTAGGGATTGAAAATCCTCTTCCTCTCATTGCTTGCCTGCAAGGTTCCTTCGCGATAGCCGTCGCCGATCTTCGGCGCCTGAAATTGGGGGTTTAGTGTCACTTTCGCTTCGCTCTCTCGCCTTTCTATTTCAAAACGGTACCCATATTTAGAATAGATCACTATCTGGCCCTTCCTTTAATGGACCTGGACTTAGAAATGGGCTTTTTCTATTTTGCTTGCTTGTTGAAATGGGCCATTTCGTTCATTTAACCCAAATTTAGAGCAATCCCCACTGTTTTACAATTCTTAACGCAATTGGCTAATCTCTCCCGCTATTTCTCTTCCTTCCCCACACCGGCGCCATATCCTGTAATCCACCACAGACACGCAAGTAACTGAGACAGGCGCATCAAAATCAAAAACAAAAAAGCTTTCCACCCGTGATCCCACCAACTGCTTCCATTCCCAAATGTTCCACTCTCGTGAGCACCGTCCTCTCCACTAACCCTACACCCACCACTACTGCCAATTGAATTCCCTCCATCTTCCCCTGTCGCTGCAAAATTCCAAAACCCCCTTCCTTTCCCCTTACCCTGCTATAAATTTGAAATGCCGATCCATTCCCTATTCAGAAAACCCCCCAAATCCCTGCTCACCAGCTCCTCTTTCCTTCTCATTTCCATGGCTTCTCTCATTACCCTGCTCCTCGTCTCTTTCCTTCTCTTCCTCTCCTTCCCTTCTTCCTCCTCCTCTGTTTCCCAGCCCCGACCCCTTCGAATTTTCCGATCGCCGAAACCCAGATCCAAAAAAGCCCCGATTCGCTCCTCGTCGGCGGGACCGATCCCGGCTCAGATCGCTCAAGCCTGCAATGCTACCAGGTTTCCCGACGTCTGCCAGTCTTCTCTGTCCAACCCTGCCGCGGCTCTCCCAAAATCCCCAACTCCGATTGACCTGATTCAGTCAGCGATTTCACTCTCCTATGCGAATCTCTCGGTCGCGCAGTCGATGGTGAAATCGATTCTGAGCTCTTCTTCCAACATCAACCGTACCACCGCCGCGAAAAACTGCGTCGAGGTTCTCGCCAACTCGCAGCACCGCATTCAGTCAGCCGCGGCCGGAGAAGCCCTCCGCGGCGGCGGGAGCGGAGGAGGAGGAATTAAGGACGCGCGGGCGTGGATGAGCGCTGCGCTGCTTTACCAGTACGACTGCCGGAACGCTCTCATGTACGCAAACGACACGTCGTTGACGGCCCAAACGATGTCGTTCCTCGACTCTCTAATGATGCTCTCCAGCAACGCTCTGAGTATGCTTGTGGCCTATGACGTTCACGGCAACGAGACCGGGTCGTGGGGCCCGCCCAAGACGGAGCGGGACGGGTTCTGGGAGAAGTCGGGCAGGGGAACAGGGCTGGGTTCAGGCGGTTTTCCGTCGGGGTTGAAGCCCGACGCGACGGTTTGCAAGAGCGGCGGATGTGATTTCGAGACGGTGCAGGCGGCGGTGGATTCCGCGCCGTCCAATCTGCCGACCGGCGGACGGAAGTTTGTTATCGGGATAAGGGAAGGGGTTTACGAGGAGATCGTTAGGGTTCCCTTGGAGAAAAGGAATTTGGTGTTCCTGGGAGACGGGATGGGTCGAACCGTTATCACCGGGTCGTTGGCCGTCGGCCAACCCGGGCTTTCCACGTACAACACGGCCACTGTCGGTAACAAGCTGCCCTTCCCACGCCATTTTTATATTGCTTTTTTTTCTTTCCCCCCACCGTTTATGTATTTTTCTTGGTTACAAAATGAATGATTAGTATATAGTTATTTCAGGGTTTAGTAAAGTTAAAGTTTAGGTACCAAGCCTACAGCCAATGTGCTAAATATTGATTCCTCTGCAGCGGTTCTTGGCGATGGATTCATGGCGAGCGGGCTGACGATCCAGAACACGGCCGGAGCTCCGACCCACCAAGCAGTGGCGCTGAGAGTCGACAGCGATCTGTCACTGATCGAGAACTGCGAGCTCCTCGGCAACCAAGACACTCTCTACGCGCATTCCCTCCGCCAGTACTACAATTCTTGCCGGATTCAAGGCAGTGTGGACTTCATCTTCGGCAACTCTGCCGCGATCTTCGACGACTGCACCATCCTGGTGGCTCCGAGGCTGGTGAAGCCGGAAAAAGGTGAGAACAATGCGGTGACTGCACAGGGCAGGACGGATCCCGCGCAATCTACTGGGTTCGTGTTCCATGATTGCCTGATTAATGGCACGGAGGAGTATATGAAGATGTACCGTAGCAATCCTAAGGTGCACAAGAACTATCTGGGGAGGCCCTGGAAGGAGTTTTCCAGGTACCGGATCATGGCAGTTAATTAGGTTGTTCATCTCTTGAATCCATACTGGATTTAACATGTTGCAATTTTCCAATGGTGCAGGACCGTGTTCATACGATGCAACATGGAAGCACTTGTGACAGGGCAGGGGTGGATGCCATGGACAGGGGATTTCGCGCTGGCAACTCTGTACTATGGCGAGTTTGAGAGCTCCGGGGATGGGGCGAATCCGTCTGAGAGAGTCAAGTGGAGCAGTCAGGTGCCGACGGAGCATGTAGGAGCCTACTCTGTTCAGAACTTCATTCAAGGAAATGAATGGATTCCCAACACGTCCTCTTGATCGATTCCTGTGTATTCTTCTTCTTTGCAATGGCAGTTAATTAGGTTGAGCAGTGAAGTTGTAGATGTAGATGCCAGCATGTAGTGCAGGTTTTCCAAATGTAGAACCAGTACGGTTGTATATATGTAATCCATAATCAGAATTTGCCGCAAGCAAAGTGAAAGAGGCCATTAACATAAGAGCAATTATTACTACCGTGACAAGCACATTTCAACCCATATATATTTTTATCTTCTTAGTCTGCAACTTATTCGTACATTACACATATATGCTGATGACAACGTATACGTATGATTCCAAGTTCTAAAAAGCAGCAATCTCTAGCCCTCCTTTGGCAGCAGCAGCTGAGCAACTGAGAACAGGGGTGTCAAACCTGCTGAACAGCTTGTAGGACGAGACAAGCGAGATCCCGATAAAGAAGAGAACAACGATGAATGTCAGAACCAAGGAAGCCATGGCCTTGTGGCAGAACCCACCAAACGAGCCGCAAGCTGCGCTCCATGTGATGTCTAGGTCTCCCTTGTAAGCAAGGTAGAGCACCTCGGCCGAGACAGAGGCAGCCGCGAGGATCAAGTAAGTGAACACTTGGTCCAGGAAGAAGAAGGTCCAGGCGGATCCGGCCGTGGTGGCTGGGCGACGCGGCATTGCCACCACGACGGCGGAGAGCAGGGCGTAGCCTGCACATATGCCGTTGGCGTGTACCAAGTACCTGCATGTATATAAATGTACCACATTGTAAAAGAAACAGAACTTGATAGTACTGTTTTCAAACAGTCCACATGTTTGAGGGCTCGTTTGAATGGTGGATTGTCCAGGGGATAGATTTAGAATAGAAGGGACTTTAGAAGTCCTTGAAAATTTAATCTAAAAGCTAACCATGTTAAGCTTGTTCGTCGCAAAGTTAGAACCTATAACGTTATGAATTTGATTCTGTTGCATTACAACTAGATCAAAAGCAAACTGCCCGTGATGCTAATGGACAGGAAAGGAACTGACATCTCACTTCCAACCGTGAATACCCCCATTATTGATTCACTCTGCCACCTATTTTGACCCTTTCTAGCTCATCCAAATTCTCATCATCACTACTGGGCCAACATGTATTAAATGGCAAGTTGGCAACTATACAGAAATGGGGTTCAATCTAAGGAAAGCAATCAAAGGAAAGCAACAAAAGAAGAGGCAATTTTCCATGTCGACGGCCAAAAAGGACATCATTTCAACATTTACCGTCTGGCCCTAGATAAACAAAATGTAAGACAAAAGGGGCACCTGAAGGCAGCGAGATCAGAGTATGAGAGGGAGCCGAAATCGTTCGTCTGGGAGTTCTTGAGCATCACGACCAGAGCTGACACGCACAATCCGACCGGCACCAGCCGGAGTATGCTCTCCGCCGTCCGCATGCTGCCGGCGGCCTGATCCTGCAGCTCTTCCCGGTTGGCGGCGGCGGAAGAGGAGTTCATGCCCATCATCGTTCCACTTACTTTGCTCTTCTCCATTGTTTGGTTTGCACTCTGAAGTACTCTTTCTCTACTAACTTCGGAGGCCAGGCTCTCTCTCTCTCTCTCTCCCTCTGTCTCTCAAAGTGTTTGAAGTTATTATGAGTGAACAGGGAGACACAGGTGATCGAGGACAAGGGGGAAGTGAAAGTGAAACCCTGATCTTATATTAACGGGGAAAGAGTGATGATAAGAAAGAAACAAATGGGGCAGTTGTAATGTTATAAATGAGCTGAGGGGAAAGGGGGGGCTTTTAATTTGAGATGATGGTGGGTTGGTGATGGTGAGGGTGCATTAAATGTATTTTGATAAGTTATGCGTTTGTTTGCCCAAATATGTGTTTGTGAGATCGTATTATATTATTGTGTTGTTAGTTCTGCATAAGAGTCATTCAAATTGTTATTATCTATAAGTTTTGCCCTAGCGCTTTGTATATATGCCCGACCATCGTAGTATGTTGGTTGTCTCACATGAGCATCATTTAATATCCTCGTCTCATCGTACGTCAAACCTAGCTAGACGCATAGTATACGTACATCTTCCGCGTACTATGCAATTAGAGACCATAATCCGTAAAAATGCCTCGTTTTCTATCTTGTTATCAATCCGACAACAAGATAGAAAAAAACAGAGCCTTATGTATCAGTAATCAGCATCGATACATCATCAGTCATCGATGAGGGGGAAATGGAAATTGAATGGTTTGCTGGTCCAGAAATGAAGTGGGGAAGGTCACGCATACCAACATGCATGGGCGATGGGCAGGGGCGGAGCCAAGGGGTATTGGGGTGTCTCGGGACACCCCTAATTTTTGGGATAACGATTATCCAATCTCCGATAGTAGTTTTAGTGTAGATAAAAAATATAAGTGGTAGACTAGGTGATTTAAATTAGGATACTAACATTATTAGTAAACATGTTTTTCATTAGACCACAACTCATTTGTTATTGTATTTTAAACACTAGTTTAATAGTAAAAATGATATTCCTTCTCCCAGTTATTTTGAAAATCTAACAATTGAACCTGATTGCGGGTTATCCTTATTCTCTCCATTCTATCATATCCATTGGTTTACTTGCTTCTCAAAGTAATTGATTTTACCGATTGCAATTGCAGGTGTTGAAATAACATATTTAGTTTTGGGAAACTTTAAGAACAAGTTTCGAAATTGATTAAATGATCAGTTTGTGAATGATTGTATAGTAAGATGGAGATATTTGTTGAGCCATCCAGACACTGAGTATATTTTGTAACACGCCTTAGACTTTTGTTGTAACTTGTATTAGTTAGATATTTTCTAATTTAAAATTATTTAATTAATTTTTAAAAGAAGACACCTCTATATAAATTTCCTGGCTCCGCCACTGATGATGGGCCTGCCTTCCTTCCTTCATTTACTCCCCTCCATTTATGAAGCTCTTTTTATTTATTTATTTATTTATTTTTGTGTGTAATAATAGTGTACACATGTCACATGCTGTGTTGCAAGGTTTAAGAAGTCGATAGGCGTAAGGCGGGCGTTGAGCCTTTGCCTAGCGCCTAGTGTGTCTAGGCGTAGATTAAGCGTGCTTAGGTGTTGGAAGAAAAATAGTTATTCGCACTGCATGATGAATGAAATAATAATCTACAACATTTCCTTACTACAATTAAAATGATTAATAACTTACTCAACACTTGATGACAAGTGAATAGTGATGACTCGATATTTGCACATGTTTTCCCCTTTGTTTCTTGATCGTTTAAGCTTACATTATCGCTTCTTTGGCCTATTTTACACTAGGTTGTGTTCCTTTGTCACATTTCAGGTCCTAGCACATAAAGTGAAGCGTAGGCGCAAGTTTCAAGTCAATCGGAGATCAATTGGCGACTCGGGGGAAGAAACTCGGGTATGACTTGAAGAAGATGGATTTCTACCTCAGTTTGTGACCAGATAATCATGTAATCTTGTCATGAGAAGAAAGAGGACGAGACTACGAGCGTCTGGGATCAAACGGAACCTGATTTGGAGTCCGAACGAGGGAGAAACGAAGAATCAAAGATAGGGGACCCGGAAATGCAAAATACCCGACCATAATACCCTACCGGGTATTTTTGGCCATCTGATAGGGTTTTTTGGCAGCATCAGAAGGCCCCCCGGTCGTGAACCAAAAATACCCGACCGGTACTAAAAATACCCGACCGGGTATTTTTCCTTTTGCCCGGAAGAGTGACCCGGAGCATTTTGTTTATACCCGACCGGTTCCCAAAATACCCGACCGGGTATTCTGACCGGGGATCGCGAACGCAAGCTGTTAAAAGCCTGTTTTGTGCGTTTTTGCAAGAGGGAGCTGGGTTTTGGATCCCAAACACCCAAGGGACGAACCAAAGAGAGAGAGGGCGATTTGAGGGCATTCTAAGAGTGGAATTGGAGGATTTCTTCGCCTTGGAAGCTCGAGGAACAAGCCCGGACTTGAAGACTGATCATCTGAAGATTCTTACTGCAGTCTCTCTCTTCTCTATGGAGTAACTTCCCTTCACTTAGGTTTTGAGGAACCCTAGCTATGTTTGTTTGATTGGATGATTGTATGAGTACTCTGACTTGATAATCTTGAGTTCATATTCAATCTATGCATGTTTTCATGATTCAATTCTGCTTTAGTCGAGATTATTGATTCTGCTTTGATCCTATGAGAGCGAATACCTGATTAGGTCAATAGAGCACCATAGATTGATAGTATTGGATCGATTGCTTTAGTCGAGGGTTGATTCAATGCTTTGTATCGATTGAGAACCTCATTCGATAGAGGGAATCTAGTTCAGAACGCCTTGATCAGTTGTTCTAGAGAAGGATACGTCCCTCTAGGCAATTGACTCAAGAGGGCCTTGTTCCTTTAGTCGAGACTCAAGGTCTAGTCAAGGATTCTCCGCATTGTGTATGAAAGTGAAACAAGTTAGAGATCATCAATCGTTAATCTGGCTAGTGGCTAGGGGGAATCATACCTAAGTGAGTTCCCAACCTGTAATTAGATTAACTTTAACTGTAGTTTGTTAGAGTAGTTTTAGTTCTTTCATCTTAATCTGGTTTGCTAGATAATGAATTGAAGCTGAGTAATAGTAACTCTAGAGACCCGTGGATTCGATATTTATTACTTGAGCCACTATACTGCAGTCCCTTTCATTGGTTACACTTGGCCATTGTTAGGAGTTGTGTCATAGCGAGTCAAGTTTTTGGCGCCGTTGCCGGGGACTTTCTAGATTATTAGGAAAGGCAGAAGTTTGTTACTTTAGCGTTTTCTTTTGTTTTCCACCCTTGCTTTTCACTTGGGTGTTTTAGTTTTTGTTGGTGCAGATCTGAATCATGGATCCTCATGGCTTCTCCAACCATTGGGGGTATCCACCACCATCCGAGTGGTATTACCCCGAGACACCCTGGAGCAATCAAGAAGGAGAAGACTATGGATCCGGGTTCCAGTACCAACCCCCTTACTATGGAGAACAATCTGACCCCTGGGCATATCAAGAACAATCTCATTACCAAGAAGACTTTCTCCCACAACCAGAAGGGCCATCAGCGCTGGAGTTACCCATGGCGGCCTTCACGGGCCATTCTGCAGAGCCATGCTACACTCCACAGCCAGATCCAAACTATGAACTGAAGCTTCTCCTGGAGCAGTTTGTTCGGGACTCCGAGAGACGCAATCGCAGAATGGATCTTCACATCCAAGCCCTTTCCTCTTCCGATCCCTCATATCTCCATGATATGGAGGAGGCTGTTCAACGCTCAGCGAAGCAAACAGAGTGGGTGTTGCAAGTTTGCTCACAACTTGCTCAAGATCACCCGTCTGCTACCGTACTAGAAGAGGACGAGAAAGAAGAAGGCTACAAGGACATCGTGGAGCACACAGAAGTTGTCACGGAGAGCTCCCGAGATGATCATGATCAGGAATGTCCTGTCGTAGCCGACCACCCTTTCCCGCACCCCACACTGAGCTTTGAAGAGGTGGGCATGAGTGAGGAGATGCAAGAAGATCTCATGAGAGAAATTGCTTGGCAACTTGCTCTCCAATCCGTGCTAGAAGAAGAAGAGAGAGAAAGGGTGCAAAAAGAAGTTGTGGAGGATGACGAAAGTGAAGCAGAAGGAGTTCTTGATCAGTTCCCAGGGGTGATACCACATGAAGAAGTAAGGGAGGTTGAAGGAGCAATTGGCGTCCAGGCTGATGACGGAGTTAAGGTGGAAGAGGCTTGCACCGGCCATGAGTTGCAGGTAATATCCCCACCAAACTTCGAGGAGCTGCTTGGCAAGGAGCCATTTGCAGTGTCTCTTTGCCAGACCAAGGCCACATCGACATCGGTTCCCCTTGGTGGACGCGGTGGTGGCCAATCGATGCTGTCTTATCTGGTCTGGGGCAATGAGACGAGAGAAGAGAAGAAGAGGTCTCGAGGGTGGAGACTTCATCTGCATCAAGTGCACGAGCCTTCATCACCTGCCACATCACCTGCTTGTGACTTGAGACTCCACCTCATAGATGAGAACCTCAACTTCAAGGAGGTTCTAGCATGGACCGAAACTTAGGAGCCATCGTCAGGCTCACGACGTGAAAGAAGCGCTTGTTGGGAGGCAACCCAACCAGTCGGTTTGCATTTCTTTCTCTATTTCTCCTCGGTTGAGTCAGTTTTGTTATTTGGTTTTAGAGTCAATAGCTCAACCTTTGTGAGATTTTGTGTGGTGTTTGTGTTCTGATTACTCTCTCCTCCTGGAATACATCGCCTGCCCCGTCCACCATCATTCACCCTTGATCTGGTAACTTCGTTCTACCCTCCTTATCTTTCCTCCATTGAGGACAATGTCGTGCTTAAGTGTGGGGGGGTGTTCGATTATGTATGCGGGTGAATGTTTGGCTGTTTGTGTGCTTGGAGCCTAGTCCACTGTCCAAATTTCGATTTGAGGGCTCCAAGTACGTGTTTCCTTGCAAATTGCCTGCTCAGTATGCTTTGAATTGACAGTCTCTATAGTAATGTGCAACCTAGGGAGGTAGTGTAGCACTATGGAGGATGTTGAAGTATAAGATTTTTCCTATCTAGCTCTTTGCTGTGTCAGTTGATTTTGTGAATTAGTGGATCTAGGACCGTTGAATTCATGTGGTAATGGTGACTCTATGTGGATTGTGTTTTGGACTCGTGTATCGAACAGGGTGCTCATATAGAAAATGGGAAGCAGTTGGTCCTCCATGTCGAAATCATTGAAATCTTAAATATGGGGTAAGCCCAACGTGTGTGGCACCGTTCATTGCACAAAATCGGGTTTTGGAAGAGATTTTAGTGATCCTTAGTGGGGTACTCCTACAAGGTGAAGCTAAGCTGTCTC